TGTGTTTATATCTATAAAATATCCTGAACTTTGTAAAAGAAAGAACACTAAAGTGAGAGATGCCTTTATAAAGAAAGAAAACTGTGTGATAAATATTTGGACTGATGAATCTAAAAACATTAGATTTCTACTCACCAGAAAAAAATACATTTTCACTACAGAAGAACATTAAATGAAATAGACAAATGTTCACTTTAGATGTTATGCTAAATGAAAAAAAAAATAAAAACATAATTGTATTTGTGAAACCACCAATCAATTCAAGAAAGTGAGTAAAATAAATTTTTCAAATCTACTTTAAATATATACATATTAAGAGCCTCTTAATAGTCCCATTACATTCCAACTTATCAGTTGTGTGACCTCGAAATTATACTTTATGATATTCATTCCTTTTTATTTAATATTCTATTCTTTAGAAATTAGCACAGATTTAATCCAAAAGAAGGAAAAAAATATACAAATAAATATGTGCCATTCTGTATCATTTATAGTGATAAAAATAACTCTAAATGCCCAAGTATACTGGAATGTTTTAGCATATTATGGCCATGCTTTCAAAGGACAACAATAAAAACTATAATAATAAGACTGTGTAGCAAAAAGAGAGAAAGCTTGTGGAGCTACAATAAAGAATATACTTTCCAGGAGTTTACTACCTAAGATATAAAATCAAATATTAATTTTGGCATTTATACTATTATCTGTCTGTCTCAGATAATATTCTCTTAAGGCTCTATGCAAAAATGGTTTGTTTGCCCTCAAATCCCCAAAGTTTCACAGGGACTACTTATCTGTAGTGTTCTTCATACCTTTTCTTCCACCTGTCAGCATTCTGGTGCAACACTCTGAGGTAAAAAACCTAGTTATGTGAGTCAGTTTCTTTCTTGACAAACTCTTACTATTACCCATCAGAAAAATTATTGGTGTCCTCCTCATTTCATAGTCAGAAAAACAGAGATAACCTAGATTTAAACAGCTGGTCCAAAGTTATTCTAAACATAACTAAAGAGAGAAAATTCTCCCAACAATATTCTTGCTTTAGCTCAGGAGCAATCAAAAATAACAGCATTGCCCTAGCTCGGGTTTCTTAGATGGGATCATAAAAGTGAATGGTTAGAAAAGAATTTACCTGAGACCTAAGATCAGTTCCCGTACCATATACCAAATTCCCGTACCATATACCAAATTTTCATGTTCCAACTCCAGACTTCAAACTGAACCAAGGATAATCCAATTATCCTTGATTTTTCTGCACCCTCTACTCCAGACTCATTCGCCTCCCCATCTATCCTTAGCCTATGGTCACCATGTGTATAGTCTTCCATACTAAGTTGGTTAACTCACCTTCTTGCTGTGGTCTGTAGTCATTCTGGGCTTGGCTTGCAGTAGGAAACTCTAACATGGAATAAATAACACCGTCAGTCATCTCTGTCTAGTATCTGTCACATTCAGTTGAGAGAGTTAAATTATACAAGTGTGAAGAGACATGCGTCACTGAGTAAACAGCCCAATCTCTAAACTGCTAGCAGGAAACTTGACAAAAACAGAAGCAATTTTCCAGGAAATGATTCAAATTCTAGGGCTGCCTATAGAAATTAATATTCAAATTGTTAATTTTTTTGCCCCACTACATTCTCTGGATATTCATTAAATATATATTAAATCGAATCTCCATCTCGCCTAATTCTGTTGAGCAAGGAAAATTTGCTCTTAGGCCCAACCATTTTGATTATGGAAACTAGAGTAAAACTGAGAGTGGTTCCTAGCTATGAATTCATCTCAGATTTTTGTCTCTGCTTTGTTTCCTTCTGAAAAAATGCAGGTGTGCCAAATCGGACCGATTTCATCATTTCTTGGACCTGCTGGGTGGTGACAGGCAATAAAGAAACAGACTGCTGGTTACACGTGCCTGCAATCCCGGGAGGAAGGGACTCTTGCCTAGATACGTTTTGTGGGTATGACATACCCACGTCTTCCCCAAAACATTGTCCGAGTTGTGCTCTAATCTTTATCTTCATGGTGTCAGAAATTCCATTAAATTTTCTCTCCTCATTGTCTTATTTTCATATGCAAAGACAACTAAAATGGGGAATGAATTAAACAAATACATACTGAAGTCTTAGTGATTTATTTCTAACAGATGAAAAGTTAACAAAAAGTAAAAGTAAGGAAAGCAGAAAGAGAATTGAACCTTTTAAGAATAGATTAGGTCTCCAAGATAGAGAATATAAAAATAGAAGAGAGGAAAGAGAAGAGAAACCAAGAGTGTATATTAATTAAAAACTAATATATTTGTTTCCAGCTATGACAGAGAGATATTGGACTTGGCCTTTAGCCAAAAAGTATGCATGAGAAAATACATGAGGCAACTATAATATTTCCAGGGACACACAGGTAGCACTGTGATCCTTGAGAGAACAAACACACAAAGGTGAGCGCTGTGATCATCCTGGCTTTCTACCCACGGCCACTCTCTGGCACAGAGCAGAAAAATGAATCCTAAACAGAGAACAGTCTCGCTAAGCTGCGGAGGCAGAGACTGGAGTTTTGAGATGCTTGAGTGACTGGAATTTTCAGGGCAGGATAACTGACAAGAGAGAACTGCACAGAGAGAGGTGCCCAGGAGACTGCGTGGGGATTCACCATGTCTGTGGCTAAGAGCTGGGCTGCACAGACATGACAAACTCTCCAAGTCCTGGCTGAGATAGCCTCTTGCTGGGCCAAGGGCTGAACAGTGTGAACAGAGGCGACGCACTGCTTAGCAGCACTCACAAACAACAAAACAAAGCTTGACATCACCAAAGAGATCCACCAGTTATTTAGGTGCCTATGAAAACAAATTTTGTTGCCCTTAAAAAGGAAGGCAACATAAACAATGTGGTTTACACATACAATGGAGTAATATTCTGCCTTAAAAAGGAAGGAAATCCTGCATATGGTACAACATGGATGAACCCTGGGGACATTATGCTATATGAAATGAGCCAGATAAGATAAATGATAAAAGATAAATGCTGCATGATTCCACTTTTATGAGGTAGCTAAGATAGTCAAAGTCATAGAAATAGACAGCAGAATGGTGGTTGTCAGAGTCTGAGGAAAGGGAAGTTGTTTAATGGGTATAACATTTCAGTCTGGCAAGATGAAAAAGTTCGGTGATCCGTTGCACAAGAATGTGAATATAATTGTATCATTAGTTTGCCTGAGCTGCCATAACATAATACCATAGACTGGGTGACTTAAACAACAGAAATTTCTTTATTTTCTCACAGTTCTGGAGACTGGAAGCCCAAGATCAAGGTGCCAGCAGGGTTGGTGTGCAGTGGGGGCCGCCCCCTTGAGTTACAGACGTCTCACTATGTCCTCACATGGCCTTTGCTCAGTGTGCGTGCAAGAGGAGAGAGAGACAGTGAGCTCTCTGGTGTCCTTTCTCATAAAGACACTAATCCTATCAGATCAGGACCCCGTCTTATGACCTCATTTAATGTTAATTACTTCCTCAGAGGCCTCATCTCCAAATATAGTCACACTGGGGATTAAGCCTTCAACGTACGAATTTGGGGAGGACACAAACATTCAATCCATAATTTAACACTACTGATACGTATGCTTAAAAATGGTTAAGATAGTTTCAAAAAAGAATAAAGGAAGACAACACAAGAACCAATGGCTTATTCTAGGGCCAGGTCACAGAAAATACATGATAAACTTGGAACATCATTTAGTTTTTTAGTGTTAGAAAGTAAGGAAGCTTAAAAAAAAAAAAAAGATGAGGGCATAACAGGACACAGGAACCAACATGAAAAAGCACCAATATAATAATTTGAGCAACAAAATAAATAACAGTATTGGATTATAACTCAGGGGGGAAAAGTCTGTGAATCCATTCTGATTCAAATAAATAAATGAATAAGTAAATAAATGGGAGAGAAGTGATAAGTCTTATAGAAGATGCTAAATAATATATGTAAATATTTCCTTTTTGGAATGCAAAATCTAATTCTCCTCCCTTTGAGTGTCGTCAAGGCTTAGAGTCTCATTTCCAAAGAATAAAGTATGGATAAGAGGAAATAGTAACTTTACAGTTAAAGAAACCTTGGAAATACCACCTCAACCACACAGACAGGGTTAACTACACAAAACACCAGTGACAAGTCTTATTGATATCATGTGCCCCTTGGTACAATACAGTGAGAAGGATAACAAACTACCAAAATCCATAATCCCAGTCTAAACAGGAGGGAAAAAACAGACAACTCTAAATTGAAGGTTAGTCTACTAAATATTTGACCAATACTCTTCAAATATATCAAAATCACAAAAAATTTTTAAAAAATTGAGAAACTCTCATAGATAGGAGGAAACTAAGTAAATATGACAACTAAATGCAATGTGGCAGGATGCTGAAACAGAAAAAGGACATTACTGGAAAATTGGTCAAATTCAATTAAAGTCTGGAGTTAGTTAATAGTAATACAGCAATATTAATTTCTTAGTTTTGACAAATGTGTTATGATCATTTAAGATGCTAACATTAGGGGAAATTGGGGGAAGGGTAAAAAGGAATGCTCTGTCCTATCTTTGAAATGTTTCTGTAAATCTGAAACTATTCCCAAGTAATTTTTTTTCAAAAAGGAAGATGATTTAACACAAACTAGCTATATTGTATCATATTTAATGTCTGGCATACAATGAAAAATTATTATTAATAGAATGCAAAGAAATAAGAACACGTGGGCCATGGACCAGAGAAAAATCAGTAAGTAGAAAAGAAACTTATATGACGTAGATATTGGAATTAGGAAAGAAGGACTTTAATAGCTATATAAATATGTTCAAAGACTTAGAAGAAAATATAGTCATAATGAATAATAAGTTGAAAAATATCAGCAGAGAAATAGAAACTATAAAAAAGAACCAAGTGACTATTCTAGAAAAGAACAGCATTCATAATTTTTAAAAATAACGGAATAGAATTAACAAGAAATTAGAGGCTGAGAATGATGGCTCACACCTGTAACCCCAGTGCTTTGGGAGGCAAAGGTGGAAGGATCACTTGAGGCCAGGAGTTCAAGACCCAGCCAGGCAACACAGTGAGATTCCCCATCTCTAAAAAAAAATAATTAAAAAATTAGACAGGTAGGATGGTGCATGCCTGGAGTCCTAGGTACTTGGGAGGATCACTTGAGCCCAGGAGTTTGAGGTTACAGTAAGCTATGATTGTGCTACTTTACACCAGCCTAGGTGACAGAGCAAGGCCCTGTCTCTGAAAAAAACAAAAAAAATTAGAGACAGCAGAAGAAAAGGTCAATGAACATGAAGCTAGATTGCTAGAAATTACCCAATAAGAAGAATGGAGAAAAACATTAGGGGAAAAATTGAACAGAACCTCATTGACGTATAGGACAATATCAAATAGTATAACATAAAGTGAAACTGAGGTCCCAGAAATGAAGGGGAAATATAACGGATTAGGAAAAGTATTTGAAGAACTAATAGACAAATATTTCCCAAATGTGGTATAGAACTTACAGTTATAAGAAGCTCAATGAACCCCAATTAAGATAAACATAAGGAAAATCACACATAAGAACATCATCTAAAACTGTTGAAAAGTTAAAGAGAAAATATTAAAAGCATCCAGAGAATGATAACACATTAATGATGGGGAACAATAACATGAGTGACAGCTGAATTCTCATCAGAAACCAAAAAGTAGAAAGACAATGTACGCCATTCTTAAAATGGTAAAATGGTAAGAATGCCAATGCAGAATTCCATATCCAGCAAAAATATCCAGCAGAAATGAAGAGGAAATAAAAACATTTGCAGAGCAAAGAAAACAGAGAATTTGCCATAAGCAGGCCAGTACAAGAAATACTAAAGGAAGTTCTTAGAAAAGAAATGTCACTAGATGAAAACTCAGATCTACAGGAAAGATTGACGAGCAATAGAAATGATAAATATATAAGTACATAGAAAATATTAATTTTCTTTTCTCTTAATTTCTTTAAAAGAAAAAAGAAACAAAGGAGAATAAAACAGATAAGACAAATTTTGAACAAATAGCAAAATCATAGATTTTAAACCAATCATAACAATAATTAAATTAATCATACATGGACTAACACAACAAATAAACGGCAGAGATTGTAAGATCAGAAAAAAAAGCAACAACCAATTTTGTTCTGTCTATAAGACATGCACTTTAAATATGACAGAGACAGGTTAAAAGAAAAGTACAAAAAAAAATACTATGTAAACAGTAAGCAAAAAAACAAAAACAAAATAACCTGGAGTGATGTATCAGTTTCCTATCACTGCTATAAAAAATTATCTACCACAAATTTAGTGACTTAAAGTGACATATTTTCTTAAAGTCATGGAGGTCAGAAGCCTAAAATCAAACTGTTGGTGGGACTACTT